CCTCYYMTCYYCTCMYCWCYYCTCYYCTCYYCTCYYCTCYYCTCYYCTCYCCTCTCCTCCCCTCCCCTCTCCTCCCTCTGCATCCCCTCTCTTACCCTCCTTCTCGGTGCCTATTCTTCTCTTTTACTTGTTAGAGCAATCACACCTTAAGTCAGCATAGTACTAGTTTTAGGAATTAGATGGCTTCTTAACTTAGGGCATACTTACACTAGCACTTTCCTAACTGAATTAGACCGGAATTCGAACCAGGTGAGGATGCATCTGAGTCTGATCACGTCCAGAGATCAGTAGAAAGAAAAGGTCCTCGTGTAGGTATGCACCCAGTAGGTGGGTTGGTTTTCCTTGGGACAATCGGTGCTTGCCTGAACTGCTAATAGTAGTCTGCTACCAATCTGTCAGCTTGTTTTTTTCCCCCTCTCCTCCCCCCCTCCTCCCCCCCTCTCCTCCCGCTGCCCGTCATGATTGATACACACATTATGAGGAGGGATAGAAGGAGGAGGCGGCAAAGCCACAGTCCTACAAGTCACCGAGATGTCGCGATCTCGATTATCTGTCGCTGCTCGATCCTCCTCTCTTGCTGCTTCTTTCTCGCTCGCCTCGGCTTCGTCTCTGCCAACGGCTTTTCTTGTCGGGACAGAAGTCTCTGCAGAACTTTCACCGCCTGTTCTCGCCGCGATGCGCTCTTCCGCTCCGGCCACCTCTGTCACGGCTTCCCTAGTTATAACGGCGGCCCGCCTATCACGCGTTTCCGGTGGGACCACAAGACCAAAACCTATCAGTGCACGAAGACCAACGGAAGCCTTTGCATCCAGTGGACGACCAAGGAGCAATCTCCAGGGGAGATGAGGGTGGCGTCCTGCCAGTGCCATGAGATGGGCCATGAGCACTGCAAGTCCTGGGCCTGCCTGCGGGACGAAGCCGTCCTTTGTGACCTTCGCAAGACGTTCGACTGCGGCTCGCTCGTCTTTCTCGCCGATGGAACGCAGCTCACAAGCTCCTGCTGCACTAGGGATGACGAGGACATCCTAGTCCCTTCCGTTCGCGACATACAGAAGGAATGGACGTCGTGCACTTGCAAGAAGACCGTGCAGCAGCTTTCCTCCGCCTCCGACTCCGCCGGCGGCTCTTCGGACTCTCAAAAGGCCATAGCCGAGTTCGGCGGCTCTTCGGACTATCGAAAGGCGAAGACAAACTACTGTGTACAATGGAATTGCACGGACCGGGACATCACCAGCACCGAGGAAGAAGACTATGTCTGTACGGGGTTTGCAGAGAGCTTTTGCAGCGATTGGGAGGGGAGCATAGAAGGGAGGGAGGCGTTCGAGGTGTCCAGGTGCGAGTGCAACCTCGTCGTTAACGAGACCGAAGAGGGCCTCGACTACTGCGCATCGTGGGTTTGCTACTTGAAAGGTTTTGATTACCACGACCCCAACCTTGCCTGGTCCGCCTTCGGGATCCTTATCGCAAGTCCTCTTGTTATCGACAGTTTCTTTGTGAATCCGCATCGGTATCGGGATCCCTATGGAGAGCAGGCTCTAAAGAAGGTCGTCAGCAATCTGGTTGTCTGGGCGGTGCTCATGTTCGTCACAACGTTTATGGGAGGGGTAGGGGCTCTGTTAATTACCCTGGCTTTTCAACTTGCACCCTTTCTGATGATTTGCCTGGGCGTCCTCTGCTGCAGGAAGAAGGCAAGAGTACGGCCGATAAATTAACCCCCCCCCCCCCATAGCCTACAACTCCGTTACTTTTCC